TGTGTGGCTAACACGCCGTTTAATGAACAGTGTGGACTGAAGGGGATACACGGATGGACGGATGGACGAAGTCCATACAGCTTGAAGAACAGAACCTTCCAGTAAAGGCATTCATATTTGTTTTAGTAAATACACACAGAGATCATGGGCAAAAACACCCACAGAGCAGTCTGCTAGTTCGTTTTTTAAATGAATGGCACTGGTAGCATTTTAAAGAGAGAAATTTGGGCTGGAGGGATCAGAGAGAGTTTGCTTAGCAAATGGAATTAAGCTGAGCCTTAACAGGAAAGGGCAGCAGAGGCCGGGAGTCACTCCAGCTCTGTTTACAATGAGTTCGGCATACCAGGAGAGAAACAACTAACTAGCCAGCAGCAGGATCTGAATCTGAGATCCAGGTAGATAGATCCAGAGTCCTACCAGGTCTGGCCTATCCGAACCAGGATCATTCCACCAACCATGAAGCCTCGGAGGCCAAGGCAGAGTCCACTCTGGGCACAGCCGACTCCCCTGCCCTAGCTCAACAGTGAGTACGGACCTGTCAGGTGAACGGGAGTGGGCACTGGACACAAATCTGGACAAATCTCAATCAGTAACTGGCTCAGGACGACTCAGTCTGGACCAATGAGAACGCGGCTTCAGCTGTGTCCAACAGAACCGTGCTGTGCTCTCCCAGCACCGCTACCGTGGAAGAGCATCCAGCTGCAGCTGCCCTAGCTGCCCTCTCAGGAAGGGACAGCCTACTATGCAGAAAGCCAGCAGACAAGCAGGACAGACGGGAGAGGTCCCAGCCGGGTCACACCAGTGCCCAGAATAGGCAGCACCTCCTGGAATGGTTACTTGATCGAAGATCCCAGTGGGTGTTGTCAGGCCAGTTTGAGTTGGGCATCTGTGCCTGTCAGTCAGATTCGATCCACATGATAAAATGCAACCAGTCACAAGCCTGTACTAAAGCAGCTTACATAAGCCTAACTGAAATGCCACCACTGTCCCCAGGGAGAGGGACATGAAAGACCGTATGCATCTCCTGCCCCTGGAATCCTGACCAGGGTATGCCATCCCTTGCACTGGTCCACCCAAAATGCCAACTGCCAGTGTAGGTATTGACAAGCCACTCCCATAAGCAAAGTGGCTAAGTGCTGCTATTAAGAGCCTTGCATAAGAAGGCCGGACTTCACAAAGGGCACGTCACAGTTTTGCTTCAGCTGTGCTTGTCCGTCAAAGGTTCTGGCCTATGTCCAACCGAAGACACTCCAATGCAGCTGTACCAGTGGAAGGCAACGCTTCCCTTCATTGCCCTCACGCTAGCTATAACACAGTAGAGACGGCACCAAAAACATGACAGGGGGCGGGGGCATTCTAGAGAAGGCATCGAGCTGTACGGTGCATTTCAAAGTGTGACCATACAGTGTCAAAAGACAGTTTTCACGACAGACAAATCCACTGACAAAAGCACAGCCCTAACATGCACCAGATGAAAAAAAGAGACAACCAACCGAAACATTTCCTCCCACATCTCTGGTCTTAGAACTGGCAGGAGGATTTCTGAGCTAGAAGCTACCCTGATCTGTGGTAATCTGAATGAGAATGTCCCCCATAGGTTCATATATTCCAATACTCGGTTCCCAGTTAGCAGATCAGATCGGTGTGGAGGATTAATAGGCATGGCCTTGGAGAAGGAGGTGAGGGGCCTTGCAGGAGGAGAGGGTAGTCTCTCTCTCTCTCTCTCTCTCTCTCTCTCTCTCTCTCTCTCTTCCTATCCCCTCCCTCCCTCTCTCCCCCTCTGCTTACTGCCTGTAGAGCCCTTAGCCACTATACCAGCACCATGTCTGTTTCCTGTCATGATGGTCATGGACTAACCTTAAACTGTAAGCAAGCCCCAATTAAATGCTTTCTTTTATGAGTTGCCTTGGTCATAGCATCTTTTCACAGCAATGTGTAACAGTAAAGGACTCCCTTAGGAAAAAAAAAATACTCCTTGATACAATGTGTACTTTGACCAGCAATCATGCTAGAATATAGTACAGTGTTATTCAGATCATATATAGGCTTTGTTTAAATAAAGAAAACTGAACATTTGAAAAAAGAAAAAAATATCCTACGTTACCCACCATTTAATTTTTTATTTAATATTTAATTCTGGTTGCCGCCATTAAACAAGTCATCACAAAACCACCTGGTAAGAAGTGGGGTGAAGCACCCATGAGCTACAGTCAAGGACCCAACACTTACTCAGTTGCCCTGCGACTCCCATACATTGTGGGGCTCACACTCCCTGCCACAGGCACCTGAGGCTTTTAAATAAATACTCGCATCATATTTTAGACTGAAGATACAGGATGAGTTCACTGACCCTCAAAAGCCAAGGTACCGTCCTCCCGCTCAGCTACCAGGACAGGTTGAAGATGGCCGTGGGAGAGGGTTGATAGGAGCAATGAGACACTGTCTCAGAAACACCGAGCTCAGGCTTCAACTACAGCACTCAGAAAGTGGGCTGGGAAGATCAAAAGCTCAAGGCCAGGGGTGGGGGTGACGGTGACGGCTCAGTCAGTAAAGATTTGCCTTGCAAGTCTGGGGAAATATGCCTGTGATCCCGGAGAAGTAGAGAAGAAAAGAAACAGGCTTTTCCCTGGAAGTTCAAGAGTCAGCTAGCTTGGCTTGTATGACTAAGATCCTGTCGCAAATAAAATGTGGCAGTCCCGAGGGTCCACACGTGGGGCGAGAGAGACAGAGACAGTGTGTGTGTGTCTGACATTAGTAACATCTTAAGAGCAGAGTCTGGGGCTGGAGGGATGGCTCAGCGGTTAAGAGCACTGGCTGCCCTTCCAGATGTTCTAAGTTCAATTCCCGGCAACAACACAGTGGTTCACAACCATCTATAATGAGATCTGGTGCCCTCTTCTGGTACACAGGTATGTATACATAATAAATAAATCTTTTTTTTTTTTTTTCCTCCTAAAAGCGAAGTTTGTTCTTCCAGAGAACCCAAGTTCAATGCCTAGCACCCATCTGGTGGCTCAACCTCCTGTAACTCCAGTTACCTAAGCACATGACCTACTGACTCTTTCTGGTACAGGTGTCACTGACTGGAGTGTTGGCTGCTGCTCGAAAGAGGCCTCCACAGTACCTAAGGAAGCGCTTCTGAAAGGCAGTGAAAGCCAGGGACAGGATACAGGACAGGCTGTTGCTAACTCCATAAGAAACCTAAGACTCTGCTACGCTCTTGGTCTTGCCCCCGATAGGCCCCTCCCATTTTAGGACACTTTATTTGTTTTGGGGACGCTGCTTGAGTGTGAGGCCTGGAAAGTCTTGAGCGTGGGATCTAGAGCCTATCTTAGTCAGGGTTCCTACTATGTGATAAACACCATGATCAAAGCAAGTTGGGAATGAAAAGGGTTTATCTGGCTCACACTTCCACATTGCAGTCCATCGCTGCAGGAGGTCAGGACAGGAACGTGGTGGCAGGGGCTGATGCTGAGGCCATGGTGGGGTGCCGGTTACCGGCTTGCTCAGCCTGCTTTCTTACATAAGCCAAGACCACCAGCCCCACGGTGTTCCCACCCTAATGAGCTGGGCCCTCCCCCCATCAATCACTAATTAAGAAAATGCCCTACAGGCTTGCCTACAGCTTGATCCTATGGAGGCATTTTCTTAATTGAGGCTCCTTCCTCTCCAGTAACTCTAGCTTGTGTCAAGTTGACATAAAACTAGCCAGAACAGGGTCCAACAGTGGCTACACAGCTGAGACTCTCTTCAGCCTCCATCAGATGTGGGCCTCCTTCCCTGGGTTGCTGATTTAGCAAGTCTGAGAGGACCCAGGAACCTACACAACACCAAGGTCTCCAAGGAGGCCGACTCAAACTTCACCTGGTGAAGTTAAAACACGGGGACCCAAATTCAATCCCCATCAGCTGGGTAATCCCAGGCACCTTGCAGGAAACGCTGCTTTTGAGTCCCTTCATTTGTACAAGAAGTCAGTAGCTACCTCAGGTTAAGCCCATTTTCAAGTCAAGGCAGAGCACAAGTCAGGACACTTGGTTTAAAGGGGAATGGACTTGAAGCTCAAGACAGAAGCAATTAGTGTCATTTAAATAAAACTGTCCATTGCATAAAATCCACCCATTTCTACAATGTATACGTGTGTGTCTTCGTGGAGAGTTGTACTCTTGTGTGCAAGTGTCCCCGGAAGCCACAGACATTAGATCTCCTGGAACTGGAGTTACAGGAAGCTGTGAGCCACCTGACACCGGAACTAGAAACCCAAGTGCGGAGGAGCAGGCTGCACACTTAACTACTGAGCCATCACTCTAGCTAGCTCTGTCCCTTTATTGCACTAAACAACTTCACTTACAGAAAAGTATTCTCTACTGGAACGCAGCTGAAATTTCCTTTTAACCTGGTTTGAATGACGCCATTAAAGCTTTCTGTTGCCTAACTCTCAACCTGGGAGCCATGGATCCCTGTTGGGGGGTAGGGGTGGGGTGGGGTGGGGTCTTGATTTGAGTCTCCCTACTTGGTCAAGGATACTGGAGTAAAAGCTTCCTGAGTCTCCAAAGGCTAAGACCCTCCTAAGGATATTAACGTCTTCCTCGTCCCTTTTGTTTCTTCTCGTTTAAGTTTTTGTTTGTTTTAGTCACGCGTTAAGTTAGGAAAGTCAAATAATACAGAGAAAGTTGAACATTAATTCCGTCTTGTGCTTTTTCTGGACCTTCTTCCAAAGTCAACCTTTCTTACAATTTTAAGGATGCTTCTAGGGCAGGATTTCTCAAACTCACACGTTAGAATCTCTTTTTGGGGACCCCGTTCTAAGAGTTGCTCTTGCAAGCCCAACAACATGCACACACAACTCCTGTCAACACCCCCAAAATATTCGTGAGCAAAACTCCCAGCGGAGAACCAAAGCTTCCAGGGGCGCCGTGGGCGTGCAGAGTCCCTGCTGTGGCCACGTCCCCACCTCCGCGGGGTAGGCCACAGGGGAAGTCATCTTGTCCCGGGCCACTCACCAGGTCGCGGATGAGCTGGTCCACCAGCGGCTCGGGCTCCACGGCGTCGCGGTCGGGCGGTGAGCGAGAGCGGCTGGTCCCGTCCCTCCTGTCCGCCCGTCCGGGCCTGGGCGCCGGGGGTCGGCCCGCGCCCTCCAGCAGACCCTGCGCCAGCGCCATGTACCCCGAGGCCTGCTCACCGCGCGCCCCCGCCTCGGGCCTCCGCGGCCACCGCGCCCCGGCGTCGGGCCGCCGCCGCCGCCTCAGCGCCTGTGACTGCAATTCCTCCTGCCAGTGCCGGCGGAACTCCTCCAGGCCGTGGTCGTCCATGTTCGACGCTCCCGGGCCTACGCGTCACCCTCGGGCCGCCAGCTGTTGACGGACCGTCCATCCGCAGGAAGGGTCCGCCGTTGGCCGGAAACTTCCGGGAACGTGGCTTTTAGGTTCCGGTCGGCCACGCCCCTCCGCTCTGGCATCCCCGATTTTTGCCACCTTTGCACCAAGGGAGGGCTTTTCTTTCATCCTGCTTTAAATGGCTGCTAAATACATATTGGAAAAGTAGCGTTTATTTTTTTAAGAGTGTTTTTATTGTATTTTATTTATTTATTTTGTGGTGTGTGTGTGTGTGTGTGTGTATGTGTGTGTGTGTGTGTGTGTGTGTGTGTGTGTAGAGAAAGCGAGAGAACGACTCAGAGGAGTCGGTTCTTGCTTCCACCCTGTGGGTCTCAGAGATTGAACTCAAATCGTCAGTCTTGTAAACACCCCTTTCTGCTGAGCCGCCAGCTCAGCCTGAAGTACGAGTTAAAATCTATACACACCACAGCCAAATTCAAATAAAACTGAGGTAAATCTTTTTTTAATGTGAATGTCTGAATCTGTGGGGAAGGTTATGTTAGAAAAATAAGAAGTAAGGTCAAATAACAAAGTAACTGACACTGGGAGGGAACCGTTAGTGATTAAGGATAGGCATGAAGTCCTGGCCTCTCTAAGCAGGTATCATTTAAACTACTAGCTAATAAAGAGAAAACCCAGCCACAGAAAATCACCAGAGGTTTCCAGAACCAAAAATCCAAATGCAGTAAGGTGGGGAAGTATCTGTGAAGGAAAGTTCTGGAAATAAACCCCACCTCCCACCAAGCCTTCCACTGAAGGCTGATTAAGTGGTCAGAACTTCAGTGAGTGTGGGGAAGCTGGAATGTTGCAGGTCCAGAGCCTAATTACTGTTTGTCTTTGGCTGGCCTTAGCCCTCTTGTGAGCCATTCCTTCCCATCTCTGGGTCCATTCTAGCGTCCTTGTGACAGTCAGGTGAAGCCTTTTGATGTATTAGCTTAGCTCCTAACTTCCCCCAACTCCAAAGATCAAAAAGTCACCAGATAGCATCTGAGTCCTACAGCAGCGCCGCCCCCACCTTGTGTAACCCCTACCTGATATTTCCACCCATGTATTTTAAATGTGTCTTGATTTTTTTCCCCTTAATTTTCTTTGTTCTTTTCACAAAAGCTCTGCTGCATTGGAGCATGGGATTCAAATGACGTAAAGGGTCAGTTTATGTTTTGACAACATGGTGTTGATGTGGACCAAGACAGCAAATTCTGGACATGGGGAGGGGAGGGGGCACACTGAGTCAGCACAAAATGGCAAACACTGGATGTCCTTGGAACTCAAAAGTAAACAGTGATGTCATCTTTTATACATCCATGTCTGGCAGACTGCCACTTTTGTATGGGCTCTGAATTAATGCAGCCTGAGGTCAGAGGACTGAGCCTTCAAAAGTTGGCTTGTGTGTCTGACTGTAGAGCCGTGAGTCCGTGTGTAGGCCTGTGTGTCTGTGTGCAGGCCTGTGTGCTGGTCTGTGTGGCCCACAGACATCAGTGTAAGCCTGCTGACAGCTTGCTTGCCTGCCCCCTGTATTGAGGGGTATTTTGATCGCACTCTGACACTCCTAAGACTGCCAATAAAGTTTACCTTGAATCAGAGGGCGAGCTAGCTACTAGGTGATGACTAAATTAACCATAGAGGTTGTGGGGGACCCAAGGCACAGAGAGACAGGAAATAGTAGGGAAGGGCTTAGAAAGATTCTCAGGCCCTTTGGGGTGGAGGAACGGGGACAGAGAGGAGGTCACTGGTCACTTTGCTTCTCTGATCAACCGGGTTTTAACCCTGATATCTGACTTCCGGGTTGAACTTAAACAATGTAAGAAACGCCTTCACACTGATGCATCCGCCCTGCATCCTTCCCTCCAAGCCTCTAACCCTTTCCTGGCATCAGGGGACGGTTGCCACCCCACAGTCACTCCTATTTGGCTCCAGAATAAACTATGTCACCCTTTGAGGTGAACATTGTTTTTACGTTGACATGGCATAGGATGACACCCCCCCCCTTCATAACTGTGAGAAACAATGACCCTCACTTCATAATAAGAGCACTAGAGACTCAGCAAAGCCACTTACTGCTTCGAAAGGCTGGGAGTGCTGGCTGAATGCAAAGGTTTGAAACCCGAGTGTAAGCAAACCCTCCCTTTCCTCATCCCACACCGTTGGAGTCTGTCTTACCCTTCCCTCTGTTACTTCCATCATCTTTAAAAAACAAAACAAAAGCCATGCGTGGGGCCATCTCTACATCTTACATCCTGCTTAATTTAAAGCTTGTCAGGCATGTAGCGTTGCAGGCAAGCTTGGCCGGGAGCACTATTCTGTTCTAAACGTCTAGTTTGTGAAGTGGGTAGTGAGACCAGCAGGCACTGGCAGGGCTCTGCTCACTAGAGTCTAATGTGTCTGCTCACTTGTAGTGAGATGAACGCTTTCTCCAGGCAACTTTGGAAATGAACCTGTAGAAGTCGTTTCTTATAATAACGCCTTGCCCCTGCCCTGAGCCCCTTGGTGGCCTGCTGAGAACCCACTAGAAATCTTCCATATCTCAACTCACAACTTGCTTATTCTTACCTAGGTTCTGACCCATTGTATCTCCCTGCCATTCATCCCCCCAGCATCGTGCATCGCAACACATAACACAGTTGGTAACTTCATATTAGCACAATTAGCCAGTGCTGCCTCGTTTCCGTTCCAGATGACCTGATCTCTGATTGGAAGCCGGTGATGAGCAGGCACTGGGATCACTAGTTACCAAATGTATAGTGGCTCTTTAGAGATAAGAAAACCCAAGGACAAGTGCTTGGAAAACATTTGCCAAAACAAGATTGGTAATTTGCAAACCAAGGGTTCTGCTAGTGTTTTTTGTTTGTTTGCTTGCTTGCTTGCTTTTGTACTCCAAAGGGTAGTGACTCAGTTAACCACATCTAAGCCAGGTAGAAATCTGGATGGCTTTCTCTACCGTATGTGTTTGCTTTGTTTTTTGCTGTAGTGATATTAACAATAGGGTCAGGGAGCTGGAGGGGTGTCTCAGTGAGTAAAACCACCTATGGCTGCTTCAGAGGACTCAGGTTCTGATCCCAGGACCTAGGTCAGGCAGCTCACTCCAGCTCAGAGGATCTGGTGCCCTCTGGCCTCCAGGGCACCCACAGCACTCAGTGCACATAAATGCATATTTAAAAAAATAAACAAATAAAGTCGGGTGTTGGCGTCTCGCACCTTTGATCCCAGTGCTCAGGAGGTAAAGGCAGATGGATCTCTGTGAGGTCAAGGCCAGCCTGGTCTGCAGGGTGAGTTCCAGGACAGGCTCCAAAGCCATAGAGAAACCGTGTCTCGAAAACAAAACAAAACAAAACAAAAACAAAGAAACAAAAAAGACACACACCAAAAAAAGCAAAACAAACAAAAACAAATAAATCCTTTGAAAAAAAACCAGTAAGTTCCAACAAACTAACTGAAGACAGACAGACAGACTGACTCTACCACACGAGTTTACACACGTCCACTTCTTTCAGGTTTTCTACTCCCAAGGATTTGTTCTAAGAAGCCGAGTAAATAAAAAGAGTATGTGACCACAATAAAGGACATTAGTGCAGTCCTCACAGAAACGCTGCCGGGGGGCGGGCCAAAAACCGGAATCAAGTGAGGTAAATGTCACAACCGGGACATTCGCTAAGTAAATCGTGTCCGGTCCAAATAGAAGAGAGATGTAGAGTGCCAGTTCCATGAGAGCCGGAGGCAGGATCGTCTTCGTTCAGTTTTGGCACTGGAAACGGAGCCTGGGACATGCAGAGTGCACGCATGTGGCGAGGGAAACAATAGGAAATGCCTGAGTATCACCTTAAAAGAAGATTGATTCTGGGCCTGGAGAGGCGGGGCGGTGTTTAAAGGCACTGGCTGCTCTCCCAAAGGACCTGAGGTCTATTTCTGGCACCCACAGCCTCGGGGAGATCAGTGCCCTCCTCTGACATGGCAGAGATGGAGCATGAGAGTGTGGGCATCTCCTTTGTTTTCCTTATTTAACCACCACGGTTAGATCATGGGGGCCCACCCTAAACCACCCTAAAGACCTTCGTTGTAGCCTCCGGCCCAAAGCCCACCTCAAAATAACATAGTCAGTTAAGTTTCCACACACATACCACCTCACATGGGGATTAAATGGCAACACAGGAAACCTTGTTGGGGGGGGGGACTCAAACTATATCCAAACCGTAGGGAGACACTGTCATTTCCATTGTGAAAAATTTTAATTAACTAATCTTTTTCCAGAGAACATATCTCAAGATTTTAAAATTTATTTTAAAATGTTTTCAGAGAGTATATTTTAGTTATAATCTTCCCTCCCCCAACTTCTGCCAGATCCTCTGTCCCTACCCATCCCCTTTCATAGCCTTCCCTCTTTAAGAAAAAAAAAAGCTAAAACTAACACAAAATTTTCAGAATGGCACAACACACACACAGTGGGGGGAGGGTCCAGTTTGTGTAGGTCCTCTATCCCTGAGTGTGTGGCTACCCAGGGTGTGGCTGGTATACAGAGTCACTCCCTTGAAGAAAATTGATTTTCCCTCTCCCAGAATCTATCAATTGCAAACAGCTTCTTGATAATGTGGGACTTTGTGCCCACTTCCCTTTCTCTGTGCTGGGACATTATACTGTTGTTGTTGTTGTTGTTGTTGGTAGTGGTGGTGGTGGTGTGTATGTGTGTGTGTTTAGAAGGAAGTATGCACACCCAAACCTTAACAGTTAGGACTTTGTGATTGTAGTCATTTTTGAGACAAAGGCTCACTCTGAAACCTGGGTATTTGGCACTTACCATGTAGCCCAGGTTAGCCTTGAACTCATGGAGATCCTCCTGCCTCAGACTCCCAAAAGCTGGCATTACGGTTCCAAGCCTGAATTCTTTATCATCCTGATGTTTCCAGAAGGCACAGCCTGGGGAGGATGGCTTTTGAAAAGCTAGCCCACTTGACAAATTGGCTGCTGGTAGTGGAGATGGCTGGACCAAGGAGCATTCTTGAGTTGGTCCTACTGTGAGCTCCAT